CGAGTCAAGGGAAGCAAATGAGAATAAAAATCGTTTGTCTAAGTTTAGTTAATGGAAATTCAGATGTATGAAGCTGAATGTGTAAACGTCCGAGAAAACATGAGTCTGTACAATGTGGATTAGTATATTCGAAGCGATGATATATACCAAAAGCCCTAGTTGGAAAGAATACCATAGCATACGAAAAATGCAATAACTGCTACAATGGTTGCCAGGATCATATAAAATATGGCTTGTGTATAGTCTAGTTAAAAAGAATAATGAAAAATAGCTCCGCATTAGAAATCCCTTTGATTTATCTCACTAAGATCAGAGTAACTTTATGTCTGAAAAACAGGTTCACCAATGCTATATATACATATAGGTTTCGCTTTTCATCTCTAAAACAGTAAAGATTGAAGAGTAGGAATTTTTGCAAAGTGGACGGCTCGTCACGAAATATAAGCAGGTCAGGCATTGAAGTGTTGATTTTTCGAACTTAGTGTATGAAAATATGGTCTATATATGCATTAGTGACCAAGTCACGCATTTTTTGGCTATCGTAAGGATCAAATTATTTTGTAAATAAACTTTTAGCTCTGCTGGTCTTGCAAACGAAGGTGATCTGAGAGGCTTGACTGTAGTTTGGCAGTGCAAGTTCGTATAGCCTTCAGATTAAAAATGAAATTCTAAATCTTTATAGATTAATGATGTAAATTGGAATAACAATTTAGGATGACTGCAGCTCATAACTGTAGTAAAAAATCAAATAGCAAAATTTTGCTCCGTTAATGATAGATCTTTCAACTGCATAAGAAGTAGTAAAAAACGCATGTAAAAGCCTTTTAATTTTTTATAAGCGTAGTCTTTAAATAGGTAAAATAAAAAAGGGTCACTTGGAAAAGGATGACAAATTACCTTTCCATTCATCCATCGTTATATTGTCCCTACCCTCAAGCGGATCGAAAAAGAGCTCTGATGTTGGTTCGTCTGCATCGTCATGAAAGAGAGCTAAGTAGGGATGGCACAAGGCCTGAGCTGCAGTGATCCTACGATCAGGATCAAGGACAAGCATTTTGCTGAGAAGATCGAGAGCTTTTGGAAATGATGTAGGAGAATAGAAAAATGCAGCGAATAAATTAAAGATATAATCATCAAATAAAAGTGTTCCGGATAGCAACTACATAATCGCATACATAATATCTGAGGACATGTAGTGAAAAAAAG